TCATAATATCATCATATTAAGTCGCAACTCAGTACATGATCATTCATAGAACTATTACGACTAACGTAATACTTAGACTGAAGTCATATAAACCGTGTGATGACACAAAAATTTGGATATTGTAGCAATTAGCAGAATGACTCATCTTTAGGTACATAGTATAAAATAAAGTCGCTTTCTTGTGTTGTACGCTTAGACACGGTATAATTATAATACAGAACTCCAACTTCATACAAACGGACGAAACGCGAGCTATACCTAGTTCCTACCAAGTTTGTGAAAAACATTTTAATTTGGAGGATGTATTACATTCATCCAATAGAAAACTTTTAAAAAAGAATGCCCTACCATTGTTAATGCTGCCAAGCTTAGCTAGTACTGATCCAGGAGTCTCTCTAAAAGAAGATAAACAAACCCAAACTGCTCCGTTGGTAGGAAATGAAAATAGTACACAGACTGAAAATGCAACAAATGAAATCTTTGCTCAAACCTCAACGAGTCTCTCTAGCAACACTCCAAGAAAAAGAAAATTGAAACTTGAACTCCTCCAATGCAGAAAGAAAATAAAATAATTAAATCTACCAATCAAAAAACAACACGCAATTTTATTGAACACTTCCTATTCAATATACAAAGTATTTCATTTATTTATATGAAAAGGATATTTACAATCACAAATCTAAATAGAAACAGAAAGTAGGCAAATATAATTAAAATGCTGGAGACGGGCAGCCCTAACGCATGTTTACGTACCGCGCGGCTGTAGGCATTTATTTCTATCATGCGGCCGAGTTACACTACTGTATTATAATAGTACCATGGCTTAGATCTTTTAAACTAAGCAACGGATTTTAAAGCGGTTTTCACCAATAGAGAGACTGATTCAAGAGAAAGATTTATATGTATAATACATGCATATTATAGTAGAGAAAATACGATAATTTCAAAGATTTGTCGTAAAAAACATGTTTTTGTGCACTTACATTGCAAACGCCGGCTAAACCTTACGAGATAAACCTAATTAATTTACAACGGAATTGTATATCTTAAATAGATCTACAAAAAAGTCTGAAATAGTATATTATTATGTCTATCTCTCAAAGATAATCCACAGTAAGCATTTTTATCTTTTAAATGTTGCAAAAAAATTATGGGTTATTTACGAAGCTGTTTTAAACAATACATTATTATTCATGATCCAATTAAATACATTAGATACGCTGTGCATTTTATGTAGATTAAAATTGCTCTTTACGGCAAATCATTAAAATTAATATTTTAGAAGATATTAGATACTTAAAATGGGGGGCCCAACGGCCATCACTCCCGGGTGGCAGCAGTCGGCAGGATCGGAGCGGGCCCTATAAATATTGCATATAAAGATGTCCTGCAGTACGGTCCTATCATAATAATAGTATAATTAATGACTCCACACAAACACCGCATTAGTAGTATTAGTAGTATCTACATTGCACCCGTGCGAAGCCGGGGCGGATAGCTAGTAAACTATAATACCTTATACATATGTATATTGGGCATCTAACTTCTTTGCGCTATTGTTGCTTTCGTGATCTCATTGAGCCCCTTGTATATGTATCGAAATTATGGTTTTAAACTGTTTATTGAATAACAAACATATTCATAAACTTTCATATTTATTAAAAAAAATACGCATTGTTTTTTTAATTATGATGATGTAACCTATTTTCTTCTTACAGGATTTTTTTACAATTATAACATTAGTCTAGATCATGTAACAGTATTGATTAACATTTTATAATCATAGGAACGAATCTGGTAACAGGTTTATGCAAAATATTTATTTAGCAAAAAAAGATGACCTTCACACCAGAACCAATGCGAAAGAAACCAGCCTGACAAGAATACCTTTATCTCGTCCCATCGCATATTTGAGATAAAACAGTCCAATGAAGCCGATTGTATTCATTGGACTGAATGTAAAAAATCTCTCGATTTTATTCTTTTGTTTTAGCAGGCAGGTAGACTGGTTAAATTAACGTCAGAAGTAAGAAAAGTGATGCATGTATCTAGTAAACTGAACTACAAAAAACTTTGAAATAAAACAATCTCTCATAGGTTTATTAGGTTAGTTAGTTAGGTAGGTTATTTCTTTTTCTGTGGATTTACTCACAGAACAATTGATCCCATTGTTTTTAAGGGGGCAAACGAGCAGACGGGTCACCTGGTGGTAAGCAACTACCGCCGCCCATAGACACCTGCAACTCAAAAGCCACAAGTGCGTTGCTGCCCTTGGAGTCCGTCCCGCTTAACAGGTCAACCGGAAGTACCCTATAGGTTTTGGGTCGAAATGGTACATGGTAGTTCCCGTTGACCTAGAATCACGAAATTTGGCAAAAAGAAACTTCTTACAGCACAAATAAAGGAATAATGAAAAAAAATTAAAAAAGTTGGAAATTAAGATAAATATTGCTACTTACAAATTTTCGCGAAAATCTACGTAAAATCTGGGTAGGTACGGAACTCTCGGCGCACGACTTCGACTCGTACCCGACGGGTTTTTTTTAAATTGAGTATGTTACATAATAAGAATAAAAGATATAATGTTCACTACACCGGTAAAGAACATTATTATGTACCAAACATCTGTGTGATCGATGCATTCATTCAGTCATATAAATTTGTGTGAATGTATCAAGTTATAATAATTATGTAACTATGAAGTTTGATGTGTTATGCAAGTCCTATCTCAGGCCATGTGAAAACGACCTAAACGATCACACTTTTCAAACAACCTTTTGTATTCATATTTTAACATTTGGGGTTCTGTCTGCCTTAAAACCGATAAAAAAAACTTTTTTATGGATACAGATATTAACCCTGATTCATAAAGCAAGTTGGCTAGTTGTCACATATTTTACTTAAATAAGTTTGACGAGTATTAGGCAGCCTCATGAATAAATCAAGTTTCGATAACCATACATATTTTGTTCGGCAGTAGGCCGTAGATCTTGGTATTACTCGTAGTTATGACTAAACCTTACGATAATTGGCATGAAACGCCACGAATCTCTAAGAATAGACATTGGAAGTTATTGAATAATTGTCGGATTGACTGTAATGACTAAAGATAAACTTCTCAGTCCTGTCGTCCTGACTGTTCGGGTCTACGGTACCGTGGACACTATTTATGTTAGGTTTAAATAGAGATATATTTGAAGTTACTTCAAAGATAACATTTAGACTAGGGTTATTTTTAACTAAGAATATATGGCCATCCTTTAGTAGATAGATATGCATTTGTATCGTCAATTATCAAGACGACTACATAAAATCTCTATTCTTTGAAAACATATACACAATTGGTATTACTGATTTAATAATTGGTAATAAATAAATGTTTTAATAGAACTTGAATGTCTTTATGAACATTAAAGTGCTATCGCAGAGTTCTAGAAACTAAAACTGCATTTTTATATAGTGTGAAGCCAAAACTACATGAGTTAAAAAATTTAGACCATTCATTATTTTGAAAACATGTAGTCAACCTGCACCTAAATGTGAATGCACCTTTAAACGTGTGGATAATAATACTTGTGTTTCCTTTTAGCGAGAGCCATACATAAAATATACAGGATGGTGCACATTATGTAAATGAAAGTAAAGCTGTCCAGCTAGCAACTACGGACAACAAATACGTCGGGATAACGCCGCTGCATACATAATTTAAAACGCGTAAAGATTATTTTCACCTCACAACGTTCGTTATTTCTTTCCCATTCTTTTAAAAGATTAAATTAAATACACTTAATTCAGTATACACCTAATTATAGGTCTATAAAACAAAGTGATGGGACCGTTCTACGACGGCATTTCCATCCATTAAGAAAACGTTGTCTTAAAAATGCATGCAGCAGAACTAGTTTTTAATTAAAAGTATAGAAAATAAGTCTATAAATAAGTAGTTAAATGTGGTATATTTATAGCCCTTGCTACCGGATGACGCGACAGTCTATGTTATACTTGTTTGTCATCTTATTTGAAAAAATATGATGATTAGAAACTGATTATTTCTAGTCATACGTGTAAGATAAAAATACGGATTGTTCTAGTACAATGAGAATAAGAAGTCCAAAAGGGTCAGCTAATATAATTGAGTCGGTCATTTCAAAAACCTTCAAGTCTAAGTTTTTTTCGCAACATGTAATTTTTTGCTGAAAAACATTTTTTAAAGGTAGATGCGTATTCTGGATGTAAGCCACGCATGCCAATACATTCCTTCCTTTTCAAATAATACCGCGTAGAAGATGTTCATTGCATAAAAACATTAAATAGTGCCTAAGAGGTTTTTGCATACATGTATAATTATATAAATAAAAAAAAGAAGCACAAAAAACACAAATTAATATAAGTGAAGTGTTAATAAGTTAAGTTTTAAGTTTTAAATGTAATTGTCAATAATAAGCAATAAAAAATATGAATACTACGATTGTTCTGTCTGTTCTGTCAACATAAGTCAATAATAGTTTTTGAAGTTTTTCATTATTATTATTAATAAATTGTGAAGGTTATTCGATATTTCATTTTCTACCTATGCAATACTAAATTAGGCATAAAAAGTCCTTCTAAACTGATTTTGACAAACATTTTTTATTGATTCCTGAAAAACTCTGATCGTGTGATTTATGAGGTTTTTGGAATAACCGATACAATTTAATTTCAATCAAAATAGAAGTGTCATTTATTTAACTAATTCCAAAAGAACACAATATTGAAAAACGTGCATCATATTTATATATATTTTAGGTGTATCAGATAATACTGGCTAAATACTTTTAAAAAGTTTTACCAAGTTAACGGTCATAGTGGTTTGTACCACGAATCGTCTCAGTAAAAGAAGTTCGTCGATCTTAGCAAGGTGAACAACAGGTTCAGTATTGATTGACTCAACTCTTGTAGCTCCAAGGAGCGAATGTCCCGGCGACGGTCAAAGCCCTAACCGACCCTTAGGCTATACTCACAATAATATTTCTTCAACGCTACTACTTCTTTGTAGATCTGCTACGGAGTACACAGATGGCAACTGCACAACTTAACAATATCAGGTTGCAACGTCAGGTTCATAGTCACATGCGCGGGAAAGATACCGGGCCTCCATGCGTGCGAGTGGCATGGAGTCTCTGAACAAACTAAGCGAATTTCTGGGTGATCGTGAAGCGTGACGAGTGCACGTGTTCGAAACACAGACGCATCTTTACTGGCCGCTACATACGATCTGGCGTTGTCAGCACGTTGTCAATTTCAAGATGTTGCTTTTGAAAGAAAAATAACGATATTTATATTGTGTACGTATCTTTTAGGTGTAATAAAAAGTGCCAGACTTTTTTTTTCATTGTGATGGTTTTGGAAGTCCCTTAAATGAGTGGGGTGGCTAGTTGATATGACATTGAAACGGATGTCGCCCTTTTATTAGTTCGCTGTTTAATCGGAAGATCGCATCATATCAACGAAAATTATAGAGCAGCAGAGCACGAGCAGAATTATAATATTACTTTTATTCAATTGTGTAAGTAACCAACTCGACTGTTAAGCGTCTATCGGTTGATGATGATGTTTTATTCATAGCGACTGTTATAAATTTACGAAAGTCTATTATTCTTAGTTTCGCCCAGTTTTGCCTGATGAGATGCTTGAGTAATACCTTTAATGACACATTGCACGTAGAAGAACGAGTTAACAGGTATTCAGTGACATTCGTTCATTTGTGCCGGTCATCAGAATGGAAAATGTGTGTCACATACAGCGTTCCGACAATGCCGGGGAAATAGAGACATATACAAGTAATATGACTTTCTTTAGCGTGTTTCAAGGTAGTTGGAAAGTAAATTCTTACAGTAGGCTGTAATGTGTTACAAACATAATACATATATGTATGTATGAAGTGTACAAAGTTTTTATCTCTAACTAATTCTACTGGTTTATGCTACTATATGAAACAATTTGATGCTAGAAATTACTCTAAATTTATAATTTCTCAAAAAACTAATTACCAATCATATTAACTTATACAAATGTACCTACATTACCGACAAATCCATAAAACATTTCAGATTCTTTTCATATTCAATTTAGTCTAGTCTTCATCTACTTATTTACAGGCTTAATTTTTAATTGAAGTTGCATCTATGGGTTTCGGGACCTATATAAAATGTATGGTACAAGTGAAGTCATAATTTAGTCACGCGTTGCAAACGATGGCAGGCAGGTGACTGTTGCGGTGCGTCGGAACCAAACCAACCAACAAACGGTATACCATATTGCACCTATAAGGACACACGCCTCCAGCAACTATAAATGGCGTCTAACGCTTACTGTCAGCATTTTGATACATTTTTATTTTATTTTTATTTGATCCGGGTACCCGTTCTCTGAGGAAGGCCATGTCATTACAGATCCCCATACATACATAATTCTAACATTTTTTTAATTGTTTAAAAGATCACAAATTTTGATTGTGTGGTAATCTAATTTAATTTTAAATGTCTTTGAAGGTTAATTGTAAACCTAAATAGATTAATAGTAAAAATACGATACGAATGAGTACGTTAAGATTTTGCATTTGAATATTGTGAGTGAAAATGAATAGAGAATATAAATGAACTATTTGAGTCTCATCAAGAATCAATCGTAGCATGTGTGTCGTTCAATTGTTTCAATCTATTACTACTTTCCCGTTCCGCTCCGCCGAACTTTTTGGTATGAGTCTTGATACACGTCAATCACAAAATCTACCTAGATTAAGTTAAACTGTGTTATCTATGCAGAAAAAGTACTGTATAGTAGGCAGGTGAGAATATTTACCTTGTTATAATAATTTATGCCAAGGTTTTGTTTTGGTATGATACTGGCTATACCATATTTAACGGTATTAAACAGTCTAAGGAAGAATTAACGTAGTACAAAACGCTATAGGTAATTACTGAGCGAAACTTATATATATATATAAGTTTCGCTCAATAATAAACTTTTGCAGGCATCTGTATGATACGCAAGACATAACATTAACCGATATTAAAATTAAAGCAAGGATCGTACCGTACTAGATTACCTATCCAATAAACGACTTAGTGGGACAAATGTCAGTTTGGACATATTTTACATGCTTTTATGTGACCGCCATTAGTAACATTGATGTTTGACAGAAAAATCTGAAACACAAAAGTTTGATGCTCTTTGGCAGTTATGTCAGTCAGAATTATGAATATTATAAAATATTATTTTACCATTTCATGTTCATGTCTCAGCAAATAGAAGTATTTGTAACATCTAGCACACTTGCCTACAACCTGTTCCATGACGATATTACAAATTGAACATGAATAGTCTTGTCGGTCAGACTTGCTCTTCATGGTGATATAACAGTTGCATAAGAGCTCTAATAAGATTGTAGAGCCATAGTGTGAAGGCTAGTTATCGTTAAAATTGATGATAATGTAATAAAAACCAGAGCGAGCAGTTAACACTGAGCAATCTAGTAATTTGCAGCTCGCGCCGACAAAAAGTCAACTTTTCTGGCTGGTAAATATTTATTGACGTTCAAGAAATATTAATTTAAAGCAGAAGTATGAAATGCACGATTATGTTAATGATTTATCTTTATCATACTTTAATCAGTTTTGGAAATAATTATACATATTTATTATTCATCTTCTCTACTTTCAACTTCATCGTCTGCCGGCTCAGTCGTCGTCGTTCAGGTAATTTCACAACAATCTGGTTGAGTTTAAGTTCATAAAACATATGTGAAACTCTTCAGGCAGGTATTATCTAATCTATCAAAAATAGCATATATCTTACCGATCACATTTTAAAGGCTGATATCGTGATAGTTATTGCACTACTGCTGCAATCTCTTACCAGTTTCTAGTGTGTAAGGGTACAATAACTACTATATTAAAGTTCAATGTATACATTGTATGACTGAGTGACTGTCAAATCTGGTTTTTGTTAGGAATAGTATTAGGATACTATTCCTAATAGAAAACAACTAAAACCAGATTAGAATTTTTATATTGGACCATGCTACTATGCAATACCAGGGTATTGCATAGTAGCATGCTCCAATATAAAAGCAACACGGAGCATGCTGCTACATAAAATCTTTAGTAGATCACAAGATAGTAGAGATACGCTATAAATAATTTTGTAGACAGATCCGCGTAATATTTAATTATAACTTTAGTTACCTATTGGGTATGTGGAGCATGCTACTACGAGTATGCAATACCCTAGTATTGCATAGTAGCATGCTCCAATATAAAATCTGTAGTAGATTTATGACACAAGATATTAGAGATATGCAATAAACCATAAACCGGCTGGTCCGAGATGTTTTTTTTTTGTATATTTTAAGCAAGTAATTATATTTAATAATATTTAATTCTAACTTTAAATACCTATTAGGTATGTATCCTACATACCTAATAAGTATTAGGTATTTAAAGTTAGAATTGAATAGAAAATGATAAAGTAATGTAAGAATGGTGTGTATATTCGTTCTTATTATAAAACCAGTATTGTAAATAGGTATATTTTATTTAAATAGCATAATAAATCAGCTTACACCGTTGTCACAGAATCTTATAGCGTAAAACACAATAACAGGCAACACTTTCGAATCGTATCTTGTAAGTGTACAGAGCTATGTACATATGTATATCTACAGTATGAACTGAAATGAAATCGTTTATTCTGCAAATAGGCATACAATCATAGAGTCCGCCTATTTCACCAAGTTGTTATTCATTAAAATCATAGAAAAAGAGGGAACTAAATAGTACAAAGTAAGTAAATTCAGGGGTTGTACAGGCGTCTTGCAATTTTTGCCAGGCAAGGTAGCTTGGTAGGGCATTTCTTTTGTAAAAGAAAAACCAGTTTGACTGAACGCGCTCATGGCAAGAAGTAAAATTCAACTTGTACTCAATAATGTTATGTCTATAGTTATGTCTCTGTTCTTGTACACAAAGTGCATTTTGTTGTTCAAATTCATTTACAACAAGACATTCTAACACAATTTCACTGCGGATCTCGGAGCGGCGCGATTAAAAGGTAGACCTCAATAATATTATTTTTTGCAAGTAAAGTAATAAGTGTCTTGTAGTATATTTACATAAACTGCAGGTTACAAAAAAACTGTTTTTAAAATAATGTTTATAGTCAAGCACTTTTACTCTTAAAAATTAAGTTTGGAACTAATTTTTATAGTGAATCATGATTTGTATAGTTAAATTAAATCTTTCTTACTAAACAGGCCATTCTTCGGTACATAGGAAACGGCTCGGCAGGAGTGCTACCACGGCCTCACGGAAAACCGGTGTTGAGCAATTCTTTCGTTGCTTTTCAACGAGTGAGTAAGGTTACCGGAGCCCCAATCATCTCCTAATCCTAGTCGGCTCCTTCGCAGCCTATAACAACCAAAAACAAGAAAAAATGCAACAAGAAAGAATGCAAGTTCATATAGAAACAATAACTGTTCACTTTTATAATGAGTAGAAACTTAAAATACAGAAAATATAGAGTAGATAAGTAAAGTATTCCTTACTACTTAGTGTGGTATACGTCGATCCGACACACACCTTTTCACCATTAGCTTTAGGGCGGTAGGAAACTCTGAAAGTTTCGTATGAAAATCAAAATCCTCGTATAAATTATACGACTATTTAAATTCGCTCTTTATGCAAACACAAAAAAATATTTACACCTAATTTTCAACAGAAAATGTAAATACTAATATAAAATGCCCAAACCGACTTAGATGTTACTTCTATCGTGGTGTTATACTCTATGGTATTGAATTTAACAAAAACTTTTGATTTTGACTAAAAACTAAGTAAAATGCCGTAAAATTAATTTACACAATAACTTTGGCGTTATATTACGATGTAGTCATATGTTTTAAATCCTGTACTTTGACACGCTTTTGTAAGTCTAGTTTTGTATGAGGTTATTGGTAAAAATTTAATATGTTATTATTAATATGGTATCTGTGAGGAAATCATTTTCGTGCAATATTTACCTATCTATTTCAATACCATGGATTGCAAGCCAAAATATACAGATACATTGTTGAGTAGAGGTAGATCAATCTCGTTGTACCTCTTTCTAAGTACCATGCAACTTTTGTAGTTAGCTAACTACAAAAGTTGCATGGTACTTAGAATAAACTAAAAAATTAAAATAAATAAACTAAACTAAAATCAGATCCCGAGTTTTGTTTTTAACAAGGTGATTAAAGTCTACTATTTCTCATTAGTGTGTGGTTAAGCTACCGATGTGTGCCGTGCCATTACTCGTATTAAATTAAGAAGACTTTATGTCATGTCTCTTTCGTTAAATAAAAGATACAGCAATATAATTCTATATAATTTAACCCTTTAAAAAAATACGATACTTATTTACTTGAAGACGTTGTTTGTAGATAAATATCAAACCAAACCGCTCTACGCTATTGCTATTATTAGGCACGGCGCGGCGGTTTAAATAGACTATATAACTATTGCTATTGTTCAGGCATTTCAACTACATTCTCATGGTCAATCGTGCAGACAAAATATTGTTAGTGCATCTAAGTATCAATTTATAGATTTCAAACAAGATAACCTATACAAAATGTGCGTCTCTACGGCACCTAAACTCGAGTTCAAGATGAAGCTCGTTTTCAAGTGCATTAGGTACAACAGTAATTTACATTATTTCGCTATGACGTTATTAATAATACATTTTTTTAAATTCAGCCTTACTTTGAAACGGTTCCATTGTCAAAGAGTACACCTCTAGAACTCACGGCTCAAGAACTGTGTAGGTAATATAAATTAATAATAACTGTTTGTGACACCATCTCTCTCATACATCATAATATCGAAAGTAACTATTAACCTATAAGTTACTACGATTTGTTTCTAAATAGTGCTTTAGATTTTATTTCCATGCGTTCTATTGGTGATTTTTTTTAGTGACTTATTTGAATTATACCTATGAAATAGGGTTTGCCAACAATTTCTCCGGAAGAGTTGACGGTCGCTTGATTTTATAGTCTTCAACATTTAAATTGTTTTTGTTGTTACAAAACAAAAACAATTATTTACGCTACACTTAATGCACAAGATGACAGTCTCAAACACATTGTATTGCATTGTAGGGTTTGTAATATAGTGATGTTATTATTGCTAAATTGTAATACGCTGTTTCATTATATCTACTCGTACTTCGGAAAGTTACAACTTTTACTCTAGTCTTATAAAGAATTGATAACCATCTCTGGAGTCCTCTGTACTTGCCTGTCTATACGTTCATATTCTTATTGGATTAACTTTATTTTAACTTAAGGCATATTGTGATATTTTTGGAAGTCATCTTTAGGATCAGGGTCCTTGGAATTCGTCAAGGTAGCATATTTAATGAATTATTATTAGTTGTTAAATATATGCTTAAAAAACTTTTAAGAATCCTAACTACAAGTATCTGAAAACCCCTTTATGACTTATTATTTAAGTTATATTTACAATTTAAGCCGCGGGTGCTTCTAACATTATAACAGATATCTTGTTTTTAATTATTAGAATATTATTTGATATTTTGTCATTGAAAACAAGATATATAATATGATAAGGTAGGTACAAGACCAAAAGCTTACGCCTGAAGGCCGACATCGTTAGATTTAAAATTTAATCATTGCTCAATTATATAATAATATACAATAATACTCTTGGAAAATATTACAGAGGTATTAAAATTACACTTACATTGACTGTAAAAATAATTTTGGAACTATTCTGATAATACTAAATATAAAACTAAAATTGATACTGATGTATGACAATGATGTTATTACTGTGAATTAAATTACAAATGTATTATATATCAGTAAGGTGAGGTGAGGTGATTTCTTGCTGTGACTTGCGGTTATTACATCCATCCCTCGGGCCTTTTGTACGATAGCCATAAATCCAACTAGACCTAATAACATAACGTAAGCCATTTTTCTAATTATTTTACACTATTAAATTTTTGCAACACTATTATATTTTTGTTTAACTTTACTTATATCTTAGTGACGTTATCTTACTATCTAAAACAGTGTTAGCAGGAAGGAGTCGTGTCACATTATGGCCATTAATCTCGTCCAAGATCGCGTTGTAATTGCAGCAGGAAACCTTCCAATGATTATTCATAAAATATCAATCGCATTCCTTTTCTAAATATACAAAACAGTCCCAGTCTTATCCGTAACCTTGTAACTTCCTCTAAGGCTATCTCCGTACTTAAAGCTCAACTATAGAAAACGGTTTATATTTTGTTTGTATGTGAGCGGTCTTCGTCATCACTGTGTTCCTCTTCAAGAAGGAGGCTGTCGGGCGGGCCGCGTGGGGGAGCGCGTTGATTACCGCCAGTGCGCCGGGATCCGCCTCTAACAGAGCTGAACATCCTCGAAAATTGTGCAAATTTCTTCCGCGACACTGTGAAATGACACAAGAATTAACAAGGCTGAAAGGCTGGTAATAAACCTACAGGGTGTAAGGGACGGTGTAACTAATACTGAAATAGTGTATTCAGATCATCATTCTGAGTCGAAACTCATTGGAATTTTAAATTAAACGTTTCATGCAATCAGACTGTCAAACTTTAGGTGTCAACCGTAGGTTTCGCACAAAAGTAATAAGTACGTTTGTATTCGCGCAGTTTTTGACCTTTGCACGTATTTAAAAAAATCGGTAAAAATTTCTGTTAACTCATTGTCATATCATTTTTAAGTTATAAAAAAAGATAAAAATTATAAAAAATATTGATGAATTTTCCAGCAGAAAATTCCAATGATTTTCGACTCAGAATGATGTTCTGAATACAATATTTCGGTATCATACCGTCCTTTACACCCTGTATATTTCTAAATAAAGATATATTTTATATAAATTACACAGAAACACACATTGCAGTTAGGCAGAAACAACTTTAAGGACGAGGTGAATAGAAAAATTCAGCTGGGTTGGGCAGCATTTGGGAAGCTACGTCGAGTATTCGATCCCACAGTGCCTTAAGATGAAAGTCTTCAATACGTGTATCCTACCCGTCATGACATACGGGGCCGGTATCAGCGGTATACGAGTTTTTGAGAGGAGACCGCGTCTCGGCAAACGCAGTGTAGGACGCCCACAGGCCAGGTGGAGGGACGATTTGTGTAAGATGGCTGGCAGGAGCTGCTGCGAGGATGCGAGAAGCCGAAATTGATCGAAGTGGCGTGCAATAGGAGAGGCCTATGGCCAGCAGTGGACTGCGATAGGCTGATCATGATGATAATGATGACACAAAGACACAGAACAAATGGTCGTGGTGGTGTGGATATCGAACCCATGACCTTTGTCTTATCAGTAAGGATCACTATCCACTTACATTTGACTGCACGGATGGCGTAGTGGTTTAAGCGGTCACCTTGCCGTTTCCTACTGCGCTGAGTGTTGTGGGTTCGATCCCCACATGGCAAACGCTTTGTGTGATCCACAAATTGTTGTTCTAAATCTGGGTGTCCTTTGTATCCGTTTCATGTATGTTTGTAAAGTCCCCCGCGACACTGGATTTATTCCTAGTGCGGGAGTTTTCTTTAAAAAAAAGTTGTAACTTTGTTAGTGTTTAATAGTCGAGGTGTGTGGAAACCGCGTTGAGTGGTGAAAATCTTTGGCTTACACTGAAGTCTTAGTAGGTCCGGATCGGTCGGATTAAATAGACCAGTGTAAACATATTCAACTTTAGCGAGATTATCATATCATCTGCAAACTAATTGTATTTACTTAAGTACGTGAGTACTTATACCCACCGCCAATATGACAACCAGTGCTCGTAAAACTCTTCAATTAGTTCAGTTGTAAAAAAAATATTAACTGCTATGGAGCAATCAATTCCTATGACAGGTATTGCAGCAGATTTTTTTAGATGGATTAAGCCCTGATATTATTTAGTCGTATCCATACTAATACTAATAATATTATCTCTGTCTGTCGTCTGTCTGTCCGTTACCCCTTCACGCTTATACTGCTGAACCGATTCATAGGAAATTTAATATAGAGATAGTTCGAGCCTCGGAAAAGGACATACGATAGTTTTTATCCCAGATGTGATCCTTTGAGATGGTGAAAAGGGGGGTTGAAGTTTGTATGGTTTGAATCAATAACCGCTAAACCGATTTAGATGAATGATTGGTATGGAGATAGTTTGATTCTTATGATATGTTGGTTAGTAAGAGTTGTTAAAAATATTTAGTTAGCAGGGACAGCGGAGACTATTGGTTTTCAAGTCGTTGGTTTTTGTTCGGTCCCCGTTCGGACAACTTCTTCTTTTTAGTGGTAATCCAAGAGTTCTACATAACATTATCGAAGGTTTGTGTGCTTTAGCAAACTGTACCGAGAGGAGCTCCCATTCCCAGTAGTATTTTTTTATCAATTTATAGACAGGTCTGAAATCGATCGATTGATAACTAATTTGCTACAACATTTGCCTTTGCCTTGCAACCGAAATATTTTCTACTTGGTTCACTTGTACCACAAATTACCGTGATTAATTTACAACTCAGTGCGTCTCGTCTGCCTTTCTAATAAATTGGTGAATCTACAATGAACATTATTTGAACTCTTTTTGTAACATCCTTATATTATAAGTACTAGCTTTTGCCCACGTCTGCGTCTGCATATATTTCGGTTATCGCTATAAAAGCCAATGTCCTTTCTGGTACTTAATAAGTGTCCGTTTAACCACGGAGCTGATAGAATAGATCAAACCTGTTTTTTTTCCTTTTAGATTATAATAGACGTATTCTCTTTGGTAAAGGTGCTTTAATAACTTTAAAGTTTAAATATTGTTTTTAAAATTGTGGCGACTTCCACTTACGGTGAAACGAAGAACGAAGACATACCGAACTACGGAGTAACTGCTAATCCTGTATCGAGATATTAACAATATATATACAACTTTCCAATATCAACCTTTGTGTTGGAGGGACATGACACCTGTACCTCCAAAATGATTATGGATAAATTTCCACCAATGAGTGATGGCGCACTAGGTTTAATTATCACAGTTAAATTTCGTAATTTCTCAGAAGTCTACAAGTTTAATTTATTGCATAAAGCACCTGTTTTCTTTATATTTAATTATTTATGCACAAATTACAACTCACTTGTACAATGGCGGACTTTACGAGTACGTGGTGGGGAAATGTCTGAGTAGGTGGAGGGGAAATGTCTGAGAAGGAGCACTAGTAATTAAGTTTTGTTTAAAAAATATAATAATTATACTTAATTGAGGAGATGGATATAAACAGTGGGACACATATACATAAATACATACTGAAATACACATATACACATAAAAATATACTAGACTTTCGTCTTAAATGAGAGGCGACTGAGTGCTGTCCTGATTTCGAGAGGTAGAGCGTTCCAATGGAGGATAGATTGGATTAGGAACGAAGAGTGGACACATGCGGAAGAATGAGTGGGAGAACACAGAAATTGGAGTGAAGATGTAAGGTAGGAAGGGGAAATGTGTGAGTTGAGAATAGGATAGAGGGTGGTGAGGGCGCACAGTTAACGGCGCTGGCAAATCGTGTGCCAGTTCAATTCGCGACGAAAGGAGGTAACATGGTGGTATTTGCGAAGGTTAAAGACGAATTGAATGTAGTTATTTAGAAGGCGTTATATTTATTGAGGAGATTTATTATCGATTTTTCTATTTCGACAATATAAATAAAGCATTATATTTTTCATAGGCCTGTTGATTTTCACCACCAGCGGTACCGGTACCAATTGATTAGTTTTATAATTTCTTCTTTTTAAACTTTTTAATCCAAATCTAGTATCACACCAGTTTCGCAATATTCACTACTTTAGAAAAATTTACATTCCGAAAACTTCTGCTTATATATATATACATACTCGTATGTATAAGCAGCTACGTAAGCGGTGGAAATCTCATCGTGGAGGACTGGTTGTTATACTTATTGGTTACTTATTTTGTGTCTATTTTATGTACTTATTTTATGTATATTTCATTGCGGATTAAGAATACGGATTGTCACCACCCCCATTCATGCCGTGTTGTAAGAGCCGACTAGGGGAGCAAACTGCGCAGGACAACAACACTGCAAAAAGAGAAGGAAAACTTGACACAAACCCTATATCAACCCGTCTGGCCAGCGTGGTATAGTAGGCCAAAACCTCCTTTCTAAGGAGAGGCCTATGTCCAGCAGTGGACTGTTAAACGTTGTTGGTGATACAGATTAACAAAAAGTAATATCGATTTATGAATATGCAGTAGAAATATTAGTTCACATCACTAATTATTCTTTTATTACGTAAAACGAAGATAATTTATTTTGAAAAATAAAGACTATACATTTACAAACTCTGGTACATTTACGTTCTCAAGCAATTATCAAGAAGTAAATAAATGAACGGAGTTATACTTAGTATTCAACACATTCGAGTTTTTTGTTACAGTTAATAATTAATTTTATTTCACACTTTTTAGTTTTTATGAAATAAAAGAAAGTAACTCTACGGTTAAGTTGCATTTATCAGAAAAACGTAAATATCTAAAACTTGCTTATCAAATCTGTAGAACAAATACGTGTTTTTTACCTTTCCTGTCATAGAAACAATATCTCTCCCGCAACTGGCACGAATCTAACGACACCTCATTTATATCGAAGTTCCAAAAACGGTTTATGTTAAAGAATGTTTAAATGAATTAGGCATAAGTTCGCATCGGTAAGCGGTTTATAATGTAGGTTTATGAAGTTGAGAATTTTTAAGCGTTTGTGTTCAAGTCACCTGTATCATAATAAAAAGACTTCACTACGCGCTACGAAATCAATATTTTGTAAATCGAACGAAGGGGTCAATTTAATTTTAACGTTTTATGTGAAGAATTGACACAGAACTTCGGTATAGTGGTTGAAAACTCCAATTGTGAATTATTATCATAATTCACTTGGACTACCGGGCCAATATCCAAACTTCGTAGAAAGGTCAGAGAAATAACATAAATGTTCAATTCAAAATTGCGAATAGATTCCACGACACGTGTCGCGTCGGCATCGAAGGCTTTCAATGCACCAGATTATTTGTTTCGGCAATTACAAACTATTATATCGATAAAGATATTTATGTAGGTCACGAACCGTAGATATATACAGGCGCCTTTGTAAACATAACCAGACAGAGAGAGGGTGCCAGGATGGCAATACGCCAAGAGCTACGAGCACTCAACCCTAGGGCTAAGTGCTAGTAGGCCATGAGCCTAAAACTCTAAACCTAGAAACCCGTACTTGCAATGGAATGCAAATAAGGTCAATAAAGCTGTGTTTTACGGACAACAAACAAACAAAAAATAAATACTTTTGACCAAGACACCGAACTATGGCCCTTGTTTAAAAACAATAAGTATTGTAACTTTTAAGCTATTGTATTTCCTTGTTCGTATACAACTATGCAGTTAGGTATAAATTAGTTGATATATTACGTTTTAGGTCTAAATATTGTGGTCTAATTTTAAACTTTAACTGTGCCAATTACCGTGATACAATGGTCACCAAAAGTTGTAATTATGTAAATTGAAATAAGGGATTATTGTTGACTACGAAACCCTAAAGATGGGGATTGGCATGACAATTTATTTCAGAGCTGACCCATTATATGTGTAACTAAACGTAAGCCACGTTGTACTTATGTGTTGAATATTATGTTTACTTTTATATGGAAAAAACTAACTAAATATGGTAACTTAGTAGGTATATCTATCAGCACACAGCTCTAACCGCTGGGTCTAGAAGCATTAAATTTTGAACTAATGTTCCTTAGGTGACGTAAGCGTACACTAAGAAAAAATTTTTACTCCAACCCCAAGGGTGCATAAATAATAAAACATATTTATGAATGCTCTGCAAATATATCTTGATGAAATATTTGACGAAACAGAGATTGTTGCTATTGTGTGTGCTGATCTAAGAATTTAGTCTACAAAAGAGACGGTTTCAAAACAATTTTATTTTTTTGAAATTAAAATAAAGATATTTTTAGTTTGAGTTGGACAAATAATATGAAGATTCGTAGTACATTTAAATCTGTATTAACTTAGATTAAAAATCGTTCTGCTGTACGTCACCACCTAATTATTTTATACAACGACTTTTCGGAGCCATATTTACGTGAGTTCATCGTAAGTTTAACGGGTAAAAATAGTATAGGTACGAGTATCTTCCACAGAGTTCTCAGAACCACAATGCCACCCAGGGCGGCACTATTTCACTATGTAATGAGAATGTAATGAGAATTTATTTGTCATTTCCTTCTGACGTGGAAAAGCCGAAGCATGACAGACAATAAAAGTTATCCAATTAGGTTGAGTCTCTTCTAATAAAGTAACTATATCCTAGAATAGACTTAACAAATTATTCGTTAATGTTTATATACATACACATCACATACCTACCTACAACAGCACTTTGTTAAGTTAATTTGGACATGTCTTATTTACAGTTATCCTTGTCCTCGTCGTGAAAAACATCTGGCGTTATACAAAAATAAAATTTGAGATACTTACATTTGCCCATATTCTTCAGTCTCTCCTTGAACGCTGCTTCATCGTCATGGCACTTTGTCTTTTGTCCCTGTTCGCTGTCCAAAGCAGCCATAAACTCCTGGTTCCAACGCAGCTCTGCCATAAACTCTTCATTTTGCAAGAAAGTTGCTATACGATCGTCATCCATTTCTAAACTGAGATCTATCCTGGCATCAGTACCGGGGGGTATTCGCAAGAACATTGGGGGAAGTGGTCCCAGCATGCGAGGTACCCATTTTTTTCTAATAGCTAAAGGAATTGAATCGTCGTCAACATCTCTGTAAATAATATTGCATGTTGAAAAGCTGTGTTTAAAGGATGAGTAGATCAAGTTGTACAGTGCAATTTTCTAGAGCACGATGCAAGGTATCATAGGAATAAAAATATTTTAGTTACTCAATTACTAGGCTTTTTTTGCAGTCAATTTCTTGACAATCTGACATCACTAGATACTTAAGCAAATTAGTTTAAAAAAGAATTATTCAAATAAGCATCAAAATAATGCTCTTGTTAATTCAACCATTCCATTAAATGTTCATGTGTATTTTGTGTTGTAATTTTAACATATTTACAACTTTCAAATAGTTACTTGAAGTGTCTAATAGTCGGACCAGGACGTGCTAGCCATCCACATCAATCAGTGTTTATCTATTCGATAATTCTTGCTAGTCATGGTAACCTGTTGCCTCAGTTATGATGGTAACATGAGTATAAACGAAATATGTAATCGTTGCAATGATAATATAAAGAATTGACGAGCAATGCAGCAATGCTAAATTGTATCAGTGTAAGTATAATAGTGATTTTTGTGCATTTTTCACATCATGAATGTTTTACTTGCTTAGATTGGCATTCATACTCACACAAGTGCTGTAGTGTCATTATCATCACAATCTGCCGGTCTGCAACCCGAACGCCGATCTTTACGACGTGATGGAGTACTGCCTTCCACGCGTTCCATTTCAAGACGCAATCGTTCGTTCTGATTATCTGTACTCATCGCTAAAAGTTGATCAATCGTCGCATCTACAGCGCCCTGGTTAGCGCGTAATACAGCTTCGATAACGTCATCGTCCATGTCCGGAAACATCGTCTTGAAATCGGTCATAGCCTGTGTAAATTCGAGCTGCATGGTGGACGCCATCTCGCCGCCGGCTCGCGATACGCGACAAACCAGAAACGTCACGAGCGCGCACCCCTTACCGGCGAAACAGCTGATATATGACGCAGAACTGCCGCAGTGCTGATGAAGACCGTCGCCTTGAGGGCGATAGCCATCCTCGCTGCGCACTCTACACCGGCGCTGGGTCCGGTTTCTTAAGCTGGTAATTAATGTAGTAAATGTAGCAAAGTTCTTTTATTGCGGCTATGAGCACCGGCAGTTACCATGATGTGCAATTTTCACTTTCGTCGTTTTCATATGCACATAGCGCATGCGCCTGGTGAAGCGGGGGACCGGGTCGTCGATATAAATAGAAAATGCACAAACCGGCGCGCGTCCCGACAAAGCGGCCGCTAACGTCCGATCGCATCCCGTGGTCTCACTGAAAACTTGAAGCCCGGCGAACCATGTGCGCATGTGCAATGTATTGTTTGTAAATCATGCTTGTCGCTCAAGCATCAACGTGACCTTTAATGTTGGGATAGTAAGCGGGTATTTTTAACGCTACATTTATAAAGTTCCATATGTAGCTCAAGCTATTGTAACATTGCACAAGAGCTACTACTTGTTAAAATATTACTGTTATTCCTATTACATATAAAAAGGTTGAATTATAAGCAGTCTAAAAATAGTTGAATTATAATAAACTCTACAATCTATTCCAGCCCGGATAGGAAGCTCTCGAAGTGCTAATGTAGGACAAATACACATGAGTAGAAAACTCATTTCGATTAAAATTTGTCTAGATAATTGTTAACAAACATTTATCTAATGGTGTATAAATAAATAAATAAATAATAAAAATAATTAATATTTATATATTTTATAATTTATAAATATAATTAATTTAAGGTCATTTCAATACTAATAATTTTTATAACTTGGGAGCAGCAAAGAACAATTGTTGTGTCTAACCTTGGCCTAAGGCTTCCCCAAGGACATTGGACGCCTTTTGTTTGAGATGATGATGATCCGTTGTCCAGCCGGATATTTGTTTCATCGCTTATCGTTTTTTGTCTAAATAATCTAAATCAATTAATCAGATAATAACCCTAGGTATACATATATTAAAGTATATATGTATTATGTATGTATAAAATTAATTGCTCTCAATATGGAGTTTTGGGCATCAAGATATGAAAATTGTGTACCTATATATTTTGGGAGAGAAAATGTAGCCAATAAAAGGGAAGTTAAAGCAATTGCTTCAGAAGTTCAATAGGTTTAGTGCTTGTCAAAAGCTCTCAAATAAAAAAAAATGGTACTTGGCCAAACTTTTAAATAGGCCCCTGGCTAGGCTATTATAAATATGGGAAATGTCGATTAGTAAATTTTTCTTGCATATCGTATTCGTCGGACTAGTTCTACTGAGGACCAAGACCTTAGAATCTCAGTAAAGCAAAGTTAAAAAATTAATTAACTTTGCTTTACTGAGATTCTAATCTATATAAGTTCTATCTAGTATAAGTTGAGCTTCGCTTGTAAGTAGGAGTCGACCTAATTAAAAGGAAAATATATAAATACTATTTAATTTACGATGATTTATTGCAAGAATATTAATTTACATGTTACACAATTTTGTAAGAATTCATAACACAAGTCACCAGAAACATGTTTCCGATATCTACATAAAAAATAACAAATAAGAATACTATAAATAAAAAATGATCTGTTTACAACATGAGCAAAATGTTTAACTTTTGCTAACAAACCGTTTTTTTAATATAGGCAAGTGTGTCTAATAAAAAAGTGTTGTGTGCCACAAATTAATTTACTTACAGCTGAAATTTATTGTTACACAAAAGCATGTTACCTAAGTAAACACGGACGACATTTCTATTTTACAATTTAGGCCAAAGTGGACTACAAACAGTGTGTTACCAAGAAGCAACCTCCTAAGATTTTAACATTAAATATCTATCTACTTTTTAATATTCATTTATTTTTTATTTCTAAATTAATGTAACATATTCGGCTGATACGCAATGATAAGGCATCTTTATTTTTTATTACTTTTGGATAATGAGCTACTTATCCATAGAATGAGCAGACTTAACAAGAAAGGAATGTGGTCATTAGCATCACATAAAACTTAACAATAAAAAAAATAAAACTTCTATACTTGATTCCACATCATATATTAAAAAAAAAAAAACAAAAATTAACAATTAGAAAATGAACCGAATCTTAAAAACAATGCATTTTGCTTTTAGAGAAAAAAATCGTTATCTCCACGTGGTCAAACTGGGTAGTCAAACTAATTTGTCCAGGAACGGGAATATTTTTTCCAGATGTATCAACTTCTCGGATAATGGAGTCTTGTTATATAATTGTCATATTCAATTGAGTACAGTGATGATAAGTCATTTGTATTATATTGCCAAAGTTCCTGTTTTATTGTACTGAATGGTCTCTAACATATTATATTATTTTGCGTCTCCCACAATTTTATTACATGGATAATACATAAAGTACATGAATAAAAAAAGAGGCAGAGTATTACTTCAACATGGGCGGCAGTATTACAAATTAGGAACTTATAAAAATTGGAAATCTTTTTGGATATGAAGCCGCTTTAAAAGTATGAGTGTGGTACTATGTTCAGCTCTCTCTTTATTACTTACGGATAAGATTGACGCCGGGTGGGAGTGCATTAAATTGGAGAACCCCATAGAGGGGTAAGTAAAACATTTGATTAATAATTGTAAAATTGAACAGAGACCAATTTATAATGCCAGTTACAATTATTTTATAACGAAATAAGTATTGGTCATTTTCTTGATAAACTACGTTAAACTTAAAATGTTAAAAATTAAATTAAAAATTTAAAAAACCCTCGACACACATCTGGGATTTCAAATTTGTTATAGTGTATATTATTCTACAAGTCAAGCCCCTTACTTTGATACCCATATTGAGGGAGTTGTAAAAAAATATAATCCGCCATTTTCTAGCGGTGGATAGATCTTCATCAAACATAGTTAAGAACACTCCCTACTAATTCACCTTTGAAACAAAAAAAAAACAAATGTTTATCCGTTCGGACAGACGTATTCACGCACACGCAAACACACACACACACAAACGCGCACGCACGCACGCGCACACACACACACACACACACACACACACACACACACACGTCAAACTTAACACCCCGTCCATTTCGCTCTGTTCTATGAAAATTATTCCTATTAGACAAATTAGTTTGACTACTAAAATTTTAGAAAAAAAACAATTTAATTAATTTGTTAAGTAGACAAGTGAAATTAGCTTCTATATCAAGAAATTGCACAGTCATTTCTTAGTCGCACTTGTTTTTAAACAATTATTTTGCTTTCGGGAGAAACATATTCATTTTTATAAAAATAGTACTTACACTAAGTACATAAAATAGTTAAATATAGTTATGTAAATGAAAATTGTATTACTAGGAAGGGAATACAACTCGAATGCTTTCATGGGAGTACAAAAATAAAATTTACATAATGGCACTTCTCAAGGTCTCATAGATGATGAAACTACCGTGGCTTATTTGTTGTGAGTGATCAAAGTGACTCGCTCAACCACCATAAAAATACAAGAGTTCAAAATATTTAATAAAACTAAAGTTTAAATAATAATGGCATTAGTTGGACATCAACAGCTCGTTGGATCCCGTGTGTTTTTATGACTAATGGTTTATACATATTATTAAATTAAAGTTTATTATTGCTAGAAAAGCACACTTTCTTAACATCAATAGCAATAGACCGAAACAAAGCCCAAGACGAAAGTAGTACTAAATGAAAATACACAATTTTAGTTTACCAAGTTGAAGTTAGGTATTTCAAACATTTGTGGGTTATGTTGAAGATTGACTGAGAAATTTATGTTCACTAGGAACAGTTGCTATAGAAGGTACAGAGACAGACTTCTCTTACCTCATGTTAGCATATAAACACAACACCATTGTTAGCCTAAGCATTTACTTCAACCTGTTTAACTAAGAATACTCATATAAATGTTTGAATTTATTAACTAGAAAACTCGAGGATTGTAGATTTGATTACAATGTTTTATCATAATAAATCTTTGGAAAAATATATTCTTCACATATTTATGATTGTAACGAGAGGACAGCCTCAAATTGTAGGTTTACTTTACATTATATTTATTTTTTATAGTGCATAGTATTTTTTAAGCGCAACATACTATGCCGCTTTAGACAGTTCTCATCCGTCTAGTAAGATTATATTGGACCTTTCTTGTGTCAACCAAAATTGATTTATCTCATCTTTCATAATATTGAGAAATTATTATATATACAATATACAGAAGCAAGTAATTTCTGTCTACCAATTCTGTCCAATTAAAACTACCAATTGAAAATTGTAAAGTCAAATATGGAAAGGAAAGATGTCACGAATGGCACAATACCGTACATTACAATTGTAGATAATACGTATTGTGGTATCAGAGATATTTATAGTTAATAAAAATATAAGTTAATGGAATATATTGAAGTGAGCTGTTACAGGTGCCATTGTACATTGCCACTCGATGTCTTGACGAACACCAACTTAAGAACGTAATGTGTTTATCACTAAAGTGTTAACAATCTAGATACTGTTGGTAAGTCAAGAGTGGAATGACTTACTCATTGTGTTTAACTAAGGCAGTAGTACTGTTCCCAAACTTCTTCACATTTGGCACTGCTATTTGTTGGCTGGATAATGCCTGCCTTGGTCAGCTGAGTCAATTATTTGTAATATTTTTACTCCTTTCCAATTTTAGTGACAACATTTCAAACACTAACATTTCCCAAGAGAAGGAAGATTATGGAACTAGTATAACGAGTAATCTAGTGTAGTGTGGAATGTGGAAACTTTAAAAGGAACACAGTATATACTTCAGTTTGCCAATCTTTACGACCAATGTCCACTCGACTCAAAGAACTACGCCTGTTTTTCGAAAGGGACAGATCAATAATAAAAAACTTTAAACGTGAACAAGTTACATTTTAAGTCTGTGCATAAGTGAGTGTGACACGAACAATGGGCTGGTTATATATATAAATGATAACGACGGGTGTATAATCAATCCTCGATGCTGTCGTGAGATTCAGAGGCGCGCCTGCGAGCCGGTGTGCGGCAACACCACCACCGTGTTGGTGGGCTGCGGCCGCGGCCCGGCCGGAGCGCTCTGGGCTCTCTCCTGCTGTAAACAATTACGCACATTTACCTTCTTACCCTTAAAAGACTGTATGGACAATAATGTGTTTAACCTATATATATAAAAATGTATGTACGCACGTTTTTTTTTGTGTTCGTTAATGTCAGGACAAGGTTGGTATAAAAGAAAATGAAAAAAAAAATCAAAGTTTTATAATTCTTTTTTAATTTCATTTCACATGAGAAAAGTGAGTGAGTGAATGAGAGACTGAGAGATCTATACCAATAATATTATAAAGAGTCAAAGTTTGTGTGTTTATATGTTCAGGTTCGAATTGAAAAATCATTTAGTGTTGAATAGTTTTATCGAGGAAGGATATATAACATCATGCTGCGACCAATGGGAGTCGAGTATCAATGAAAAATTTTGCGAAAACGGTCAAAACGTATTTCTTTTGAGAGAAGCAGACGAAGTTTAGCGAGTCAGCTGGTATTTAAATAATTATTATGTTAATTATGTATCTGTAGACAAAATAAATGTTAATAGTTAACGTGTTAATAGTAGATGACATTTTTAGATTATAATTTGTATTCCGAATAGCAATAAAATATATACATGTATATATATATATATATATATATATATATGAACTCTATGCATAAAATGCCATAGGCATTCTCTACCAGTCTACCGTAGGGCAGACGACGATGACGTGGACGTGAATTTGAAAGTGAACAAAAAATAACTAAATATTACGAAATACCGTCTGGCACAAAAAGAGAAGAGAAGAAATATTTTTTTCTTTTATTTATAATTTTAACTTTTTGAACCGTATAGTTAACTCGTAAAATAGAAATAAGTAGAATCCAGCCCTTTCCGCTGATTAGTGGATACTGGGCTAAGAATTAAGGTTTGGTTAAAATGTCAGTAGATGATATAATAGGCCATCTGTTATTATTACTGATTTTTGTGAGGCGTTTATTAAAAAATAAGATTTGTGGTGTAAAGTGTTTGCAAGTGTGGAAATAAAAGTTATTATTACGTAAATGTAATGTCTAAATATATTCAAATTCTAATAACGAATGTGTGTAATAAGTGTAGCAACAAATAATAATAAATAAGATACTTTCAATATAAACCGAACTTAACATATTCTTATTATTTTTTCCCTAAAAACACGAGATACTGAGAATAGTAACTATTGATGAGTATTAGGAGACCCAAGAGTTCGCCTGAGTTATCTCAGCCGCTCTTGCTAAGATCTAATAGGTTATAGACTCTTCAATCAAATAACTAATGGAGTACTAACAACGGTTGTGAGAGAGGTGTCGCCGGTCGCCAGGAGCGTGGCAGCGCGATAGGACGGTGGGGGGGTCTGCTTCACAGCCTCTTCATAGTCCGGCAGCACGCTCGTGTAGTCTGGAGCAGGCACAGCAAACGGTGCGAGTTGAGCCGGAGTTACAACGTCATCGCTCGATATCACGAAGGGAGATTGTAAAGCGTGAGCCCTCAAGGTCAAATACTTGTAGCATCGCCACACGACGCTAATGCAGTAACCCTAAAAGAAAATAGTAAAGTTTTATATGTAGTGCTATGTTGTACAAAACACACGCGCTGCTACTTCAGTTTATGTCACAGTATATCAGATCATCATAATCTTATATACTGACAAAAATTAGTAATTAAATAGTATCCTCCAATCCTGTTGATCAGTGGTTAGTTCCGACTGCCCCACTCAAGCCAATTAATCGTGTAATGATCATTTTGATCTGTGTCTGGGTGTGATTTATTTATAAATCATATGTATGTATTTACAATTATAAAAGTATGTTTATCAGCAGCCTAGTTACCATAGGTCAGGCTCTGCCTAGTTTGCCTGCCTTATTAAAAAAATACTTGTTGTATTTTGTCAATCTCATTGGTTTCGTTTAAATGTATATATACACAGTATTGGAAAGGGTCATTCAATCAGATTTCACGTAATCGCATGAATGCAAATAACCCTCCAGAAACCAATGTTTCAAATTGCTCGTTAACACGTCTCAGATAATACATTTATTTCGAGAGAGTCAAGACATAATAGTATTATGAAGACCTATCTACGCAATACACGTGCTGAATTTGACCCAACATCTAGCGTCTTCTCCCTGGCAGTCTTCTTTATCCGATTTGCAATCTAACTAAACCCAATGCTCTCAAACTTAAATGTGTCTTACCTTAATCAGTACAGCTACTAAGAAGGCAGACAGCACTACGAGAGCTAGCACTGGAGCTGGAAGCTGTAACAGTTGAGCGCGCCATGGCACGCGTTGTGTCTCTGCTACCAAACGGTCAATAGAGCGCAAGTAGCAGAGATAACCCGTAGCGGTTAGCCTAAAAAGAAAAAGAACAGTTAATTATGAATCGCGACCCTGAAACAAATTGGACTCGGACAAATGTAGGTAAATTTGATCCATAAAAATGGCCAGACGAACCCGTGCAGTCAAATGATTAAATTGTCAGCAAGCATCTTCTTTCTCCCTCTGTGCATGTCTTGTTATAAAAAAGTACTGCATACATACATAGATTAGCTGTCTACCGAAGCGAATTACTCGTTCACGTTATGCCGACCTCCTTTCTAAGGAGAGTCCTATGTCCAGCAGTGGACTATTAAAGGCTGTTGATGTGATGATGGGATGTGTTATGCCGACTTTAATTTTACTAGCACTTACTATCGTAATAGTAACGTAGGAGGCAAGCCTATTTCTGATTCAATAACGCGAAATTACATTCGATTGATAAAGGTCATAATCGTTATTGTACGAGTGCAACAAATGATCTCGTTATAGACCAAGTTCGGGTCGTGTGATGCAGATAACAATAATTGAAATCACAATATGTCAACTGTTATCAATATTGATTTTTGTAATGTAATACGTTCGTAGACTTTTAAAATTAAGGTTTACCTGATATTACAGAGATTTACCTATGTAGATAAACAAGTAAATTAAATAACTTGATCAGATTGATTTAAATTCTTAAAATTTTGAAACTATGTAAGGACGAGTAGGTACTTCAATCTCGCGACAAGCTATTGTATCGTATAAATAGTGTAATTACGTGATAGGTTAGTAAAAGTTTTAAAGGGAAAGTTTATTTTATTCGTTTTTGAGAATTTAAATAAAAGCTTATTTTTAAAAAGGTTTTTTACTTTTTTTTTTATTACAAAATACATAGAACTTTAAACTTGAACGATCATAGTCAAACGACGCATGACGGTAGTGCGTTCCATTGTCATGCATGTCGCCTTCACGGATTCGATTACAGCTTATGTAAATTACTTGTATCCACAAAATGTCTATTTGCAATGGTCTGGAGGTGTCCATGTTTGTATATATTTACTTACTACTGACTTTAGATACTACATGATATACTGTATTAGAATTAAATTCTACACCTATTTAGTACTTACACGGTGATAGCAAAGTCAAAGATCTGGAGGCAGAAGAATGGCAATAGGTGGGCAGGTTTGCCGAGCGCAGCTCCATAGATCAGCATGAATGTGATTGCCAGGGTACACACTGTAACCAGCGCACCCACATCCACATCATCTAATACGAAAAACCAAGCATATCATTATATTCCGGCAAGGGAAAAGGCAAAAAGTTACTCGATATATTTCTTCACAAAATTATTAAATAAGTATGTTGAAAACAATAAGTTTAATACGACAGTATAAACACTCAACTTTACAGTTAGTTTTATCTGCTGTTCGACTTGAAGTTGAAAATTGAAGGATAGTTATAAACGTAACAAAGTAACGTTAGAGCAATAATTAAGTCGTTAAGCAATTAATTACGCTTCAGAGATGTCCACAAAATGCTATAAGACAATAACGATTGTCTTATATTTTTTACCCGACAGCGCCATCATCATTATAAACTTACATACACATTTATATGATAAATGCTGATGATAATTAAAACTAATTATATTATTAAATGAATTCTAGTTTTTGATGTTTAATACAATGAGTTAACGTCAATACAGTTAGCTCGTAACGACCAAGTAACTATTTGTGTGACACAAAAAACATGAGTATAAAATAGGTACGGAGTAACGGGACTTCTAACAAATACGTACTGATTGCATAAAATGTTTAATTTTCCCGCAGAAAATTCCAATAATTTTCGACTCAGAATCATGGTCTGAATACACTATTTCAGTATTCGTTACGACGTACCTTATACCCTGTATATTACACGAGTTGAAAAACATTTATACTAACCTACTACTAATTTTTAATTTTGGTATGTAAAAATCAATGGATGTCAAAAAACTTACGATATATTAAACTATGATCCCGATGTTGTCCGACATGTTGTGGAGCATATGAGCTCGGCGGCGGTTCTACTTTAGGCAGTGCAGTAGGCATAGTCTCACGGCCTGCATTGCTCCAATCCACAACAGGAGCAGAATCTCGTTCAAGTTCATCTAATAGCCGCGGGTCACGAACTATGGCTGCTAGGAACCCTAACGCTATGAGGTGCAGCATCTATGAATTAACATCAGTATTGCTTCAATCTAGCCTTAGATAATGTAATGGGGTATTACATACCCCATACATTAGCATACATACATTAGCAAATCGAATAAATTGATCATAATTATTCAAAAAATATTTTATTATTATCATCATCATCATCATCAACAGCCTATAATAGTCCACTGCTGGACATAGGCCTCTCTTTAGAAAGGAGGTTTTGGCCTACTATAAAACGCTGGACAGACAGTTAGTATAGGGTTTGTTTCAAGTTTTCCTTCTTTTTGCAGTGCTGTTGTCCTGTGCAGTATGTTCCCTTAGTCGGCTCTTACGACACCCACGAGATGAATAGGGGTGGTAACATTCCGTATTCTTAATCCGTCACCACATGGATATTTTATTAACTGAAATATAATTTAAACTGACAGTTGACTGAAAAATGTTACTAGCTCCCTTTTTATTTTAATCAGACTCTAAAAGTAAGGTTTTTGTTTTCTTATAATAAAGTTCCACAGCTGATTGCATCTCTACCAATTGAGAGCAGGTTTTAACAGTTCTTTTAAAAGATAATAAATTACCAGATAAGGTATTTATTACCTTTGATACTGCATTAAGTCAATAATTTAATGCACCACAATGCATATTTTGATGTATATCTGGATGGAAATTGATTAAATTCCTGATTATAAAAGAATCGATAGATAACTTATCATTTCTTTTCTTCAAATTGTCATTTTTGTTTGTTTTTTGAAGTTCTGTTAAACCGTAAAGCTGAGCAATTTCAGTTGATTTCAATTCTGAACATTTATTAACATATTCCTTTTTCGACTTAAAGGGACAACATTACGCGATATTAGAATCGAAATCAAATGCAGATTAGGCAATTTATAATTCCGTTTCTTCATAAGAAAAAGTTTAGGTTATGCACGGCATTGTGCGAATGCCTCACAAAGCTTACTTATATCAATGCCTGGACAAAATCATACCTATATAGCCAGCACCTATCACGATTAAGCATAGATTATGCTTAACATACATTTGAAGCAAGTCGCTTTTGATCTGATCTTAATATTTGCTCCTGTTCCAACTATTTGATTAACAAATCAGAAACTAAAGATCGCCTATCGTCGACTCTCGTTATCGTTATAGCTGACTTTTATCGATAAAGGAAAGACATATAATACAGTAGTATTAGAAGTAGAAATTAATAATAAAAAATGTAATGTTACTTACAAGATGCCATGTCCCAAGTAGTATAGTGCCTGTGCGCACATGAAGGCAGAAACAACAGCGCCACTCACTGTTGCGTTCACTTCCTAATTTGGGACGTAAACTTAACATCGTTACCTGTACAACAAACATTATGTTACTTAAGTATCATATTAGTATCATAAATAAACTTAGGCGATCTAAAAGGATATTTTTTTAATACTTAATTAGATACCTAAAGGTGTAGAGTATTGCAACCTAAGCTTCATGTAAGGCCAACGCAAGCTTTTTTCTTTTTTTTTTGATGTGAAAACTTCTTTAGAAGCATTGGGCATTTTTGAACAACAAACCAAATAATGTTTTTTATGGAAAAAAACCACTGAACTCGCTACACTGTTGCCGTACCGACACCTCTGTTGAAGTGAAACTTCTTTAGGCGCGTTGGGCATTTTTTGAGATGGGAACAAATAAATTGAACTCGCGACACGGTTACCGTTACCTATGTATATAAGTTTTCACTTTTGTCGGCACCCCCGGAGTGTGTCGGAATCGGACAGTCTAAAACCACACAGTGTGCCACTCTGCGCATGTAAAAGAAGGGATCCGGGAACTGCTGTTATTATTAAGACATCCGGACCACTAGCACCTAGCACCTGCCTGCAACGTCCGGCACACGCGGACGTCGTTTCCTCGCGGCTGGCTGTTATGGCGGCACTCAGGGCGGCATGAGTCACTGGTAAGCCTCCAGCCTGGACGGGGCCAACACACACTAGTCCAGGGTACATTCCATAATGCATACCATGTGGGTACCTAAGCTCTCTTACCTACTCGAAAAATAATATTCTAGGGTGGTGGTAGTAGATAGTACCCTAAAGGATACTATACTAATGGATACTATCTACTGTCACTAGTTTTAACTTCATTTTGGTAACAAGGATTGCCATGGATCATCATGATGAAATACCATTGAACTAAGCTATTTAGGTTCTGAGAATTATCTTAAGATGACTTTGTGAAGTCCTTTAACCAGATTATTATTTATCAGATTAGGAAGTAAAAGACCATGGGACGCTACCATATTTAGGTATTCACTGGGTTGTTGGGTTTGGTATGTTATTTGGGGTAATGTCTATGTTAACGTTACCCACAACCAGTATGTTTTTGGAGCCGTCATTGACGATAAAATATGGTCTAGTTCGGTTATAAAATTGTTAAATTGCCGTACTGATAAACTGCAATGGTAGTGTTTGCACCCCTTAAGGAACATACCAAACAACTATCCCCAGAAATCAACGGCTCAGTAACTGTATGTATCAAATTCGATTTAACATAAATAATAACACCGTCGTTTTGGTTTCTAGGCAAGTTTGTGTGATAAGTTGTGTAGCCTTGTATCATAGGAATGGTTGAGTTTACCTGTAGCCCACATTCTGTAAAAATAATTCTTTCACATATAATTTTAATGCTAATATTTTTACACATTTCACACACGGCCGTCTGATCCCAAACTAATGTACCACCTGTACTAACGTAACCAGACTGCTGATAAAAATACTTATGTAGGTATTTCTAAATACATACATATTTTACATAAAGTACACCCAGACACAGAACAAATGACAGTGCTCATCACACAATTATTTGCTATGGAGGAATACAACAAATTCATCGAAACTGCAATTGACGCTACGAATATTAAGGTGTAGAATATTTATGGAATTGGTTGATACTTACTACAATTTGTGAATTTGGAACTTATCAATATCGACAAAGTAACATATTCAATCATCTAAATTTAGTGAATAGTGCACAGTTGTTGTGAGTATTTATTATATTCACCCCCTTTTTTTTCTGTGCGGAAATCCCCTCGGATACCACTTACCGGTGGCAATGTCGGACTCGAACCGACTAAAACTGCACGGCGTCTCAAGTACCAGTAGTCGGGGAACCAGGTGTACCCTAGAAAGAAAATCCCTGGAGCCCCGACGTACCTAGGGGCATCAACGGCGGGTAGACGACCCCCCCCCCCCCCGTATGGGAACCCCCATGTTCCCTCTGAGCTCCCGGAAGGGCGCGCGCTCGCCGCCACCCCGGCCTGCTTCTGCTAGTGTGACAGATGGCCTCACCTGTCACCCGCAGGCCTGCGCTTATAGAGGACGGATGTCGTTCTGCGACCTCCGGCGCCTGAGTCGTCTGCGGTATCTGGGCCGTTCCCGAGCCTGGTGGGCCGGGAGAGTTCTAAACCTCTGCCGGTCCCGCTCCGCCATCTCGTTCGCAAGCATAACTTGCTCGCAGAAGGAGACGTCAGAGTTAAACGCACTCTCGTTTCGCACGATAGCCGCAATCAGGTTATCGAGCGAGAGAACTCCCACTCCGATGGCCGCCACGAGGTATCGCCTCTGCTCCACCCACGCCGGGCATTCTGCCAGCGTATGGACCGCCGTGTCCACGGTCCGACCATCGCGGTGGTGGCGCTCAGGCGTTGGCGCTTTGCGGATAAGACACAGGTAATCCGCGAAACATCCTTTCCCAGTGATCACCTGCGTCAGTCGGTATGAGAGGGTCCCGTGATGCCTCTCGAGCCAATCCTCCATAACGGCTCTTACCGCCGCGATGACGGAGTGCCCGATTATATTCACCCCTGTTTGTGATTTATGTGTAGTGAGATATGAGTGTAGGTTATAACTTTTATTTGTACAAATCACTATCAGTATCTACTAAGAGTTAGATAGGTAGGTTAATAGTGAAAAAAGTAACAAATCAGAATATCAGCATATTCCTCCTTCATATAAGTCATCATCTTTAACAGTATCAGAGGCACAAATCAAGTCCACTAAGCAATAGTTAGTCACAAATAGAAAACGAAAGAGTCCAGTAATAAAAGCCAAGCTTTCAACTAGGTACTACCGGGTTGTACACAAATTCTTAACACTTTTGTTTCTTCCATAAATTCCACTAATTCTTTCATCTAACTTTTTTCTATGAAATCTGATACTATCCTAGACTTGCTTGTTACCTTGTTAAATAGCTGAGAATATGTAAATATTTTTTAACAAATCAGCAGTATCTTTCATAGATCTTTTTTATAGTATTCGTCAAAAGCAAAAGAACAGCTTTATATTTTTTTGGTCTAATTAAGCATCTACTGTAGCCAAGTTCGTTAACTAAAATTTTAGTGTTTGAAATTATAAAACAATTTATCAACAACACCAAAAATAACACAACTACTAAAAAAATTGTATTAGGCAAAATTTCAGCAAGTTATATAAAATATCTTAAGTCCAATATTTTGAAAAAGGTTTGGGATTTGGTATTTCATAGTAAAATCTTTCAGAAATTATGGCAACTACAACCCCTTAAAGTATCTAGGTTAACTTACCCAGTAACCCTGTATATACACTGTAACTTCTAATACTCTACAGGTGATTTTGTTATATTATTACTTTTAAGTTTGTATTTAAGTGAACTGGAGTACTAATGACAAATAAATATCTTTAAACTGATATTGCTAAAAAATAAAATGAAATCTAATATAAATTATTCCATTAACTATCAGCATTTTAGTGACCGTGAATAAGATATCTTTATTTCTTTATTAAGTATAATGAATTGCCCACAATAATGAATATGTACGGCATGCAGCAAAGTAAATAGGCTTGTGAGCAGTCTGGTTACCCTTTGGTAACCAGACTCCTCACACTGCTCAAAGGTACTCTTATAATTCTAAATTTTCAAATATGATACATAGATAAAGTACACCCAGACAGAAAAAAGATTACACTTATTTGTCTCTTACCCACAACCTCTGGTTTAGCTATCAGGGTCACCAACCATTGGACTAAAAGGCCCTTAAAAATCTATTGAATATACTACATAATATTTGTGATTAGGTTTTCGTGCGCCAACTTATTTTAATTATTAAAGAAATAATGTCTTATTTTGATATATTAAATAACAAACTTTTTACAATGTAATAATCCTTACGCTTACATCGTGAATATGTATATATATATTATTTATTTATATCCAATGATATATATAGATAAATAATCTGATTTATAGTAAGCTAGCCAGTGCAATTTATTTTCCATAACTGTAAATACTAAATACATTGCATCAGTAAGCAAAATATCAAAATGTATCGGTATCACATATGTTTATGTATCTACGTATTAGTTTCGTCGCTTAATTAGATTATGACTTTATAAATAAATTAGGAGATAATTTAAGTAAGTTTACTAACCTGTACTTAAATTGACACGTTATTTTTCATAGGATTTACTAGAACTATTTCCAAAAGTACAATTTTTAAGTAATTTCTTTCGTCTTGACAATGTATGTAGATCACAGAGTACAGGAATACTAGGCATGGGACAAAATCACAGTGAGGTGAACTATGAAAGACCGGTGATTTACGGATTTACGGTTTTTCTTTACGTAGATTTGGGTAAATACTTACTCACTGTTTTTGCAAAAAGACCTTACTTCGCGTATTTAACACTAAATCTAATTATTTTATTATGTATACCTACCATTCCTTAGTTAGTTAGTTGCAGCTCTTAAAATTCAGTTAAGTACGAATAATCGTTAATGTTCGAAAAATCTAATTTATTAATAACGAGTAATTTTTCAGTCCAGGCCAAAATAACCAATTTATACACAATAGATGTTTTCTTTCAAAATTCATTTCAAAGTTACGTAGTTAAGTTCTTTACCGTAGTGTTGCAGCTCTTCAAATTCAGTTAGGTACGAATAATCGTTAAAATGTACGAAAAATCTAATTTATGGGCGTCTTAAAGTGTTTAATAATAAAAAGTATGTTAGGAATGTAATTTAAAATAAATCTTTGAAGGCAAGAATCGCTTGTGTCCATGTCTAATGTATACTTAGATGTGCCATTACACGGGCTTTTATAGTAACATACATAAATCTGTAAAACTGTAATCGATTAGTACATACTAAGAAATGAAATCGAAATCTCTTAAGAATCTGATATTTTAGTAATCGATTTCTTTGACCCCATCGCTAAACTTCAATCTATCAGGACTGTGAAACGGTACCTCTTAGATTACACGGGGCTATAGATTTACTGTTAAATAGCGTCTACCATACCTAGCAACCCTAACCTACGTACGCAAAAATCGAAAGATAAATCACAGTTCACTGTGATTTTATCTAATGTCTAAGTGATACCAAAGAAGAATACTATTGGGACAAAATCACAGTAAAATGTGAAAGACCGGTGATTTATCATTCGATTTTTTCGTACGTAGTAGTCCCAAGCCCGTCATCCAATTTAATAAATGATTAATACATATCTAAATTTTTGTCAGTAGCTTTATTTTAAAAAGTCTACCAAACTTCTTATTACGACAATTCCTTCGCCGGTTGCCAGATAGAGTTGGAGGCGATGGTCTGGAGTGAAATACTACCTCGATCTGTTTAGCACACCTCCTTCGAGGCAAATTTTACCGTACCCTCTAAATGACCGCGAAACTGGACTTCGCTTGCATTGATTGATTGCAATACTGGCTGAGGCAGTTAGAGAGGTGCTCTCGAACCGAGGCGATACGACAAACGGTATCTTTTTTGAGTTAAAATGGTGGTCCATTTTAACTCAACTCGCCACATTCAGTCGACCCCAAGCTGAAACCTCCGCTAAGGAAGCTTCAACTTCAGACACAAGTTCGTTTTGACTCTCGATAACGTTTTTCCGAGAAATATTGGGACGGATGGTATAAAAGGCATCTCCCGTGATATCATCATTGATATGAAGAAGAAACAGTGTGGGTGATAGCACACAGCCTTGCGAGACAGCAGCATTTACTGACTTCATCATGATCGAAGTCCTTAGCTATGTCCAAGCTTACTGCAAGGGAGAGGCTTTCTCCCTTGGTCTCGATGGCCTATGCCTACCGGTGTGTTTGATAAACGAGAAGATCACCAGCTGAGCGACCCCGACGAAAACCATATTGTCGGTCATTGAGTAGCTGGTGATTTTCTAAGTACCAGAGGAGCTGGCAGTTGATTACAGATTAAATAATCTTAGAGAACAAGGGAGTTATGGCTATAGGCCTGTAGTTGAACGGATCAGAGCGGTCAGCTTTTTTAGGGATCGGGTGCACATACGCTACCTTCCAGGAGTTCGGAACGACGCCTAGGGAGTAGGAGAGTTGAAAAAGGAGAGTTAAAACCGGTGCCAACTCCGGAGCACACGTCTTCAGCACGATAGGGGAGATTCCATCGGGCCCACTCGACTTATGAATATCGAGGGAAAAGAGTGCTTTACGCACTGATTTGTGTGTAAACCGGATTTCCGGCATACAGCTCTGGTATGGTCGGCGGTACGTTTCCTCCTAGGAGATCGGCTTTCTCCTTGGCATCATAGGCCAACGCCCATCTGCAGGGGTGGAAGGGATTGGCTACAGAAATTCCCCTAGACTGCCTTGGCAAGAGACCAGAATGCACGAGTTTCAGAAGGAAGTCTCACCAATCTCTCACCAATCCGGCTGATGTGCTCCGATTCCGCCCTGGCAATGGCTCTTTTGAGGGATCTGGAGGCAAAGTTCTATTGCTTTTTTAGCGTGCTGGTGTTTACATCATCTTTCGTCGCTGCATTAGCCCATGCTTGGTAACATTCCTGCTTTCGGCAGGACGCCGTTTTGCAGGATCTCTTGACCCAAGGCTTGGATCTGCCACCACTGGGAATGAGTATGGATTAAACAAATAGTTCCATGCCCTGAAGCACTACATCAGTGGCAGAATAGGCAATGTTGGGATCATCCGGCAAGAAACAAACCCGCCTCCATGGGTAGGACGCAAAGAAAGAGCGCATCCTATCCCAGCCCGCTGACCTATAGTGCCATATGCGGCGGCAGCATGCAACTCGCAGCCGCGGCAAGCACATGAGTGGCATCGTACTCCGTATTAGGCAATGATCCGAAGAGCCAAGTGGGGCCTCAACGACGACTTTATAGGCGTCCGGATCAGAGATCAGCAGAAAGTCCAACAGACAACAACAGACAGACTATCCACATCTGGGACGCGCGTGAGGTTGGTACCAGTTGTGACAAGCCATAGGGCAGGGCGAAATCGTAAACAGATCTCCCGCGTGATCGGTTTTACCTGAGCCAAGCCATTCGGCGTTCACAACGCGTTAAGGTCGCCAAGAATCACGATTCACCCAAATTCCGATCATTATGTCATTAAGTTAATCTAACAAAGGCAGAGGCGGTATTAATTACCACAGTTTTAATGTTTTTGTATTTTGGGTCACTAACTTATTTTTTCTAATTATTAAAAAAAAAAACTTTTAACGAATTCAACAAATTACGAAGTTTTTGTTTCTCTATTATAAAAAAAAAATGTTAAAAGCCAAAATGATAAATCATTCAATAATTTAATCACTGTCATTCGTATTTTATAATACCCTCAACCAATTTTAATAAATATAATAAATCCTTTAATTCGTGTCTAGAAATCCTTAGACAGGCGGCCATCTTCAATCTTGCTACATTTTAGACGACGCGCAATGACTCCCCAATTGTCAAGAGGCGATGCAAAATTGCAGAGAGAATGTATTTTGATTCGCTTTGTTCAACTACTTAAAATTAATTATATATCAATATATTAGCATCATATTAAAGGGAAATGAATCTAGTTTTGTTTTTAAGTGTTTTGTTGGTAAAAATGTTATATTTTATGCTTACGGAACAAATTTATAGAAACTTATATTTTTTATTTTTACTCGGGAATTCATATTAAACATAAATAATCATTTTCATTCTTATAGAGAATATTAAAGGGAAATGAATCTAGTTTTGTTTTTAAGTGTTTTGTTGGTAAAAATATTATATTTTATGCTTACGGAACAAATTTATAGAAACTTATATTTTTTATTTTTACTCGGGAATTCATATTAAACATAAATAATAATTTTCATTATTATAGAGGATAAATTTTGTATTTTATTTATTTAGTATATTATTTTAGTAGTTACAACGGTTATTGTTACCAAGCAGCGGGCACAGTTCCGCGCGGGTCAAAGCGGCGAGTGCTCGGACGTCGAGCCAGACAGTCTTCGTAACGCATTCACCATATTATTTTACGTTTGGCAACAAAATCAGCTATTATATTACGTAATATATTGTACGCCAGTGAAAGGCCCCTAAAAGGTGAAGTACTCGTGCATTTCATCAGATAAAGAAGTGCACTTTTTGAGTCCGTGAAGATGACCAATCGATCAAAACATAATAGAAAATTATGCATATGCATGACAGTAATGATATATAGGACGGAGTGAAGAAACGTTACCTACTAGGGTCACGATCAGGTTTTGGAATAGGTACAATACAAATGTGGCGCCATTGAGAGGGGATAAAGCTGTTTAAAAAAAATTTATAAATAAATTAAGTAGTACGAATTTACCTACATCAGGTAAATTTCTATCTTTAAATTTGGTACATTTATCTTTTATCTGGCTCCTGAATAGAGATCTCACACTCTAATGTAGGGTTACTATGGCGGTAGGAGTCGATGTAGATACATAATCGGGTGCTAAGGAATTTAAAAGATTTGCGGAATATTGAGCGTCTACAAAATGTCTAAGCAAACGGCACTCTTTCAACCATCTCATTTTGCGCCACATTTTGTTGAAGAGAATTATACGCTTTTTGAAGACTATTTGGTAAATATAAATTTTGTCATTTTTCTTCTGTTGTAACTGGAGGGAGGACTGTTGTAAGTTGTTATCAACTAATTGAACTCGTGTACGTGGTGTGCGTTACCCCAGCAAAATAATGTCGTAAATGGTCATTTAAACGTTATAGATAATTAGTTGCTCCCCTTCTGTAATTGGACGTAGTTACACAAAAAGGATCCAATCCACAAAACTACCAAAATTGAGTTAAGTATGCCAAAAAGTCCGTGATTGTCGATACTTTAATGCAGTAAAAAGATTCCAGTGAAATACGTAACAGTGTCATTGTTATCAACACAAGGTACCAGTCCACTTGTATGGAGGGCATTTGTTTTGAAGCAACTAAAACAATCCAATCTTCATGGATCATTAGTAAGAAAAAGTGTTTATTGGTACTTATTTAAAATATATAATCTTAAAAGAGATCCAATTCACGTGGATCATTTCTGATAATTATAATTAAATCTATACATAGTAAATCACACAAACGATCCAAAACACTTGGAACATTTCTGATGAACATTATCAATAACTCATAAAATAGTGTGAAAAACATAAAAAGAATCCAAAGCACAAGAGTTAAAAAATTGACAAAGAATTGATAATGACATACCACGCATACTCACGACCATTAATACCTATGTTGAAGTTATAAATAACAGTGATATGATAGAATGTAAATCGAATAATGAAACTCGAAATGATGCTACTACACAACAAGAAATAGAGAATTTATCTTCAGAAGGTCGACCAAAAAAAGGTAGAAAACGAATATATCTAAATCACACTGTTGCTCAAACATTATATGATATTTAAACTTACCATGTTATTCAAAAAAAGGCCTATGTCTAGCAGTGGACTGCGATAGGCTGATGATGATGATGATATTTTTCAAAGAAAAAATATATTCCGCCAAAAAAATTTCAAGATTTTACCTGTAATTGTATCAAACAATGTAACCAGTTAAAACTAGAAAAAAGAGAAGAAGAATTCCAAAAATTTGTTTTATTGGGCTCTTATGAAGCCCAATTATTATATATAGTAAATAATGTAGAAGAAAGACCCAAAACAAGATCTTATACAGTCACTAAAGAAAATAAAACAAATAAGAAAAGACCCAGAGAATACTGAAGAAAATACACTATATGTGGGGTTGAAGTTTGTAAACCCATGTTTTTGAATTTTTTTCAAATAACAACTAAAAAAATTGATGTTTCTCTACGAAAAAATCGAAATGGGTACATGATTAAAGACAGAAGAGGACTTTCACAAGGTGGTTGGAGTTCGTTAAGGATATCATAAGCTCATTACCTAAATATCAATCGCATTTTAGAAGAGAACAAAGTAATGGTGTTATGTATTTGGAATTAAGAATGACGATACAAAAAATATATGATTTAAACTGGGAAAAATTTGGGAATGTATACGACAGTTCGAAGAGTTCATTGTCATAGGATACAGTAAAACGCATATTTTATAAATATTTTAATTTACGCTGCAAGACACTAAAAAAAGACACTTGCACAAGGTGTGATACTTTTACTAATAAAATAAAAAATTGTTTGTTAGATGAAAAGAAAGAAAAGTTACAACATGAAAAAGAAATTCACCTAAAAAAAGCAGAAGATTTGAGAAAATATATGAACGAAGATATAGCACAGACAAAAACTGACGAAGAATTTGAATGCTTAACATTCGATTTAGAAAAAACACTTCCACGTATACCAACCAGCATTATTTTTTATAAAAGGCATTTGTGGTTGTATAACTGTGGCATCCACGCCGGCCGGATCAAAGGAGAAGCTGGTCGCGGGGCCCAAGAAGTCGGGTCATGTTTGATCAATTTCATAAAGAACAAACTTGACCCAAAAGTAAAACACTTGAGTGATTGGATTGATGTTGAAGGTAGTGTTAAACTCGCACCATACTCTGAGGACAATAGATTTCAAATACCTTGAATCAGGTCATACTTTCTTGCCCAATGATACTGACTTTTCCAAAAATGAAAGCCAATTAAAATTTCATCAACGAATTTACACTGCTGACGAGTATATGCAAGTCATTAGGATCTCCAAAAGAAAGAATCCGCTCGAAGTTAAAAAAATGGTTAAAGAGGACTTCCTGAGCTCAAAAAATATTGAAAAAAATATAGTAAACAGAAAAACTTTTACAAACAAGCAGAAAACTAATTGGTTACAAACAAAAGTGATTTCATTAAAGAAAGAAGAGAAATATATTATTTTTATGAAGAGTGAAATAAATAATGACCAGAATTATGAACTTAATATACAGAAGAAAGTAAAAGGAAAATCTTTAGATTTTTCTGAAAACGACTTTATCATGTTGTGGCCTACAGGCAAAAAAATCGCTCAACCTAAACTGGATGATCTGAAGTCAATGTTCCACTTAATTCCGAAAGACTGTTTAGACTTTTACAAGTCTCTTCAGGGGGATAAAAATATAGAGGATGATCTTGAAGTATTCAGCGGTCAGCTTGATTTTCAGATTGAAAATGAAAGTCAGGCAGAATGAGCATTATAATGACTATGCAAAGTTTTGTTTTGATTACAGTTTAATTATGTTATGAACAGTATTGATCTAATTTTTTTAACTATTGTTTTTTTTTAAATTGATAGGTATGTTATAAGAATAATACATTTTTAGTTATTTATTAGTTATTTTAGTTATTTTTAAAGATTTCGTTAGCAGTTGATGAAGTGGAGCTTTACTGCGAAACTATCATTTTATGCTGGTCTTATTGAGAATACTATATATCAAAAAGGATCCAAGCCCTTATTTTCTTGAATATTATTGAAAATATGAAATCAAACTTAGTGAATTTGATTTATAGTTAAAATATAACAAGATTTCCTGCTAATTTTAATAAAACCCACAAATTTATGGTACCGCATCATAGAAGAATTACGACTTAAACTTTAAAGTTAAATATCTCAAAACTAGCTTCATGTGGATTGGATCCCTATCGTGTAACTACGTCCAATTGTTAGGCACATTTTCAAATTTGTTTCACTTAAACTTTTTTAGTTATTTCAAAAAAACATTTCCTGCTGGGGTAACGTTTGAAACGTTACCGCAGCCAGACATTTTCTTTTTTAATTGTAATATTGAAATAAATTTTAGCTAAATAATTAGTTATCTGGACTAGGTAAATGTTACAACTTATTTGGTATTTGTATTTTCTTCGGCTGCGAAGTTATTCGAAATCCTGCTATAGTAACGTTTGTGGGTTTGCTGGATCTCTGAAACGGGTAGGCGGATTGTAACCATCTTTTGGACATAACTTCTTAAGGATTAGTTTTAATTTGTTCGACAATAAAATAACAAAAATTATGGACAGTTTAAAAATTATTTAGGTAAGTATGAAAACACTTCAATACGTCCTTACACTTTAAATAAGACCTCTAAAGACTTACTTGAAACGTTATTCTATTGCTTGTAACTACCTTCAAATGTATACGAATTTTTTTAAGAATACTGTAAGTGACTAAAAAGTTATGATGAAATGTAGCTCTCCACGTTCACGATCACAATGTGTGCGGCCTTTTTTGGCCACCGATAAACCTGTGTGTGGATATATAAACTGAATGTTATGCCAATAATTAGTTGTTTAGTTCAGTTGTCTACCTGTAGAATTTCAGCGTCGTACATAATTTACGAGATAATTAAATAAAAGTCATTAGAAGGTGCAAGTCCGTGGTAATCCGACCATGTTTAGGTGGTTACAAAAAAGCGATCACCCAGTACATTGCGCTGTCTTTTAAAATGTTTAGTGTAATACAC